CCCAGCATTCCACTCTTCTCCCCTCTAAGCCCTTCAGCTATTGCATAAATGCTGCAACCCTCCCAACTTCATGTCAGCTCTGATGAAGAGTCATCTGGACTCAACAAGTTAGCCTTGCTGTCTCTCAATGGATCCTGCCTGACCCACTGTGACCTCCAGCATTTTTGTTTTCAGTACAGGTTCCAGCATCTGCAGTAATTTGCTTGTATAATGTTAAAGAAATACCCCCTCACCTCACGCCAGTCAGGAGACTCATCATCTCTTCCACTCTTTCCAAACTGAGGGAATATGGCCATGACTGCATTTGGATCTCTTGGAAAAAGAAAGACTGATGCCAAGATATTATCAACAATACTTCATTCTCTAGAGTTTATCCTTCAGGTTTCCCAGTGTTGTGTCTTCTCCACAGAAGCATTTCCCACTGGTTCCCCTTTCATCTCCTCTAACCCAGCTAATCTCTGCCTTGGACTACTCTTCCAACTCTGGAGCCTGCCAAGACTTGAATATGGAACAGAAAGAACGCCTCTTCATTTTCATAAGATGTCACAGACCAAAGAACATCCATACCTTGAAAGTCGGCAAAGGAAAGCAAGATGCGAAAACAAGAGTTAAAAATTTTGACTCTGCATGAATGGGCTGTTAGCCAAGCCCATATGGACTTCGGAGTAGTGTGAGCAACTTACAGTAAAACAGTCATTTAAAATGACTCCACCTTATTAATGACTGGGAATACAGATGGGGAAAGGATTACTCAGGGAAACTAAAAAGGACATGATCACTGGGGCATGCCCTGTCTGTCATCTAGCAGTTCTATAAATCTGATTTTACTACAAAATAGCAATTAATTCAGATACTTTCACTGATCAGAAAATTCACTCACACTTCAGTCTCTGTTGACCATAGGAGATGGGGAGGGATTGGGGGAAGCTCAAAATAAACCAGAACAGCAAAAATAGTGCATCATGCTGAAGGCTGAAGACAGTCTTAGGGTCCAAAAATGTACTAGAAAGGCCTCAGGTTGAATCCCCAGTTTGCAATGTATTTGTTGATTTTGCTTAGAGTAATGGTTGGGTCTGAACGATAATGCTCTCCACTGCAAGACAGAAGGTGGAAACAGAAAGAGGAGAGAATATGCTCGACTTTACTCTCGGAGGACTATGCAGGTGTTTAGACTTAGCTGAAAACACGGTCAGCCGCAGTATAACACATTACCCCAATAATGTTGATTTGCTTCCAACATGTTGTCCTCACAAAGAGGAGACATTGTAAAAAGTCACCAGGTGCTCACTTTATGTCAATGACTTCAGGACAGCAGGCAAGAACAGAAAACATGCCCCCGCCTCCAACTCAAAGCAAAAATCCAAATTAATCTCCTTAGAACAGCCTATTTACAATAAGATATCATCAACATTAAGTTGGGATTCTTGTTGTGGCTTAATATTGATCAGGACAGCAGGGAGAAATCCCCTGTTCTTCTTTGCCATGGGATCATTTAAACTGAGTCCCTGTTGAAATGCAAAGTTTCATCTGAGGGATGGTGTCACTGACAGTGCAGGGCTCCTTCAGAACTGCACTGGGAGCGACAGCCTGGATTTTTGTGTTCAAATCATCCAATTGGACCTTCACTGCTTTCTAACCCAGCGACTAGAATGCTACTGAACAAACAATGGCTGACCCATGAACAGCTCTGGGAGTTTCCTTCTCTGGAAAAAGAGAAGACCAAGACATTGGTTAATAGAAATCTTCAAAAGTATGAAGTGGTTTTAGAAGACAAATGAAGTGGAAACATTTTTTCTCACTGAGTTCAAATTGAAACTGGTGCTTTAAATTGCAAGAAAAAGGACGCTAAAAAGCTGACATCCAGAAAAGAAAATGTTTACAACATTTTGGCTGTTGATCAGAGCTGAAAAGCTACAATGATCTCTTCTAGAGCTCAAAGTGAAAGGCAGTGTTTGGAGTCAATCAGGTACAGCTGGACTCCCAGATTGGCTCAGACAAACTACAACAGGATGTTGAAGATGGTTCAAGACAGAGGAGTGTGACGAACTATGACAGCAGATCCCCGATATAAGTAGCAACAAACCTCAGATTTACTCAGAGGGACATTCTCTGCCAAAAGTATGGTTAAAGGATTCATACTGATAGAGGTACTGGCCTTATGCAGAGAGTTGAGCGACTATACAAGTCCAATAGTTCTCTCCCCAAGTCTCAACAATTCCCCCTTCAAATACATTTGTTATATATTAAGATGTTGGTACACACCTCTGGATCAGGTGGGACTTGAACGGGGCCTCCTAGCTCAGAGGGAGAGACTCTATCACACTACACCAAAGGAACCCTCCCTTTTACTTAATTCATTCTCTCAGGAAGGGGCTAAATCAAATCGGAGTTGGAGAAGGAAATAAAGCACTGTCTCCCCCACATTGCCCACCTCTCTCTAAAGGAATAGAAAGCATTGATGGGCATATTGTGCTCCCTCTCCAAAGACACTTGGGCACGAACATAACCAGAGAAGATGGGCAGGTAGTCAGAAATGAGAGAGATGACCTCTTCCACAGCCCCTGCCTGGACCGGTTTATAGCCAGCCTGGCCAGGCCCAGGAGCTGACCCAAAGGAGGTCCTGCAATCTGCCCACACCCCTCTGCACCGCTCCCCCCGCCTTTATATATGTAGATCAATTAATCGATTGATTAACAGCCATCACTCATCTTCCCACTTATCTTAATTTCTTGTTATATTAAAAAGAATTCTTGTATTGAAGGGAAGGTTTGAAGATTAAATCCAGGAGCAAGTTGATGCATGTTTGACAAAGTCACTGAAGCAGACACTACAAATTACTACAAGATGAACTAAGCAAGCTCTGAAATGAAAGGCGCCTGACAGTATATGGGGTTAATCAATAAAACAGCTCCAAGCCCCATTGGGTTTCAGAACATTTTCCTGTCAGTCGAGACTCTTGTGTTTACTCCATGAATAGTTTTATAGAACAAGATACAAACAACAGGTGGTTAAGGATGTGTAACAGATGTGCGTTGAGTGGAGGAGGGGAAATCTCCTGAAAGTTTGGAGTTTGATGAAACGCCACTCCCATAGTTATCTCAGGACAGTGCCCAACAGCTGTATGTGCTCCTTGTAAACACCCTATGCTCCAGTTTCAAGTTCCAGCTGCAGGAGAAGCAGCAACCAATTGAAAAGGTGACTTTTACAGTATGATTGGGATCCCGCTGCCCGTTCTAGTCACGCAGTCTTCCACTGGGCTGAAGACCAACATGGATCATGGCCCACGAGGCACTCATTCTCCCTTAAGTCACGCAAGGTGTGTGGTTCAGTGAGATTGGGCAGGGAGAGACTGTAGAAGGTCACAGTACCCTTCAATAATGTCTATGCCTTTTTTCCCATTTCTCCAGATTCCTCAGCTGACAGGATGACTCACACTGGCACACCTTTTCACAACTGATGGCAAGTTCCCTGGCATCATTTCCAGCATGGTGGCTCTTCATACACAAGTGCAGTGAGTCAAGATTCTTAATCAAACAAAGCCACACAACTAGAACATATATACCAACTAAATTGTCTGCTTGTTAAAACATCACATGCTACTCCTAAACATTAGCCTCTCCTCTTTTCAAGTGCTGAATAAACTGTTTTTTCCTCCAACGCTATTTCCTTCCCACACAACATTCCAATGAAAGACAAGCAGATGCAGTACCAGCCCTTTCCCCATCCCACTCCTCACTTTCCAAAGCCCCAAACACCACTTTAAAGTGAACCAGCAATTGGAGCATCCTACAATTTGGTCAGTGGTTCTCACTGCTCACAATGTGGACTCCTCTACACTGAGGAGAGCAAGCACAGACTGGAGACTGTACTGTGAGACACCAGTCCGTGAGCAGGCCTCTGAGCTCTTGAAGGTTTTAATTCTTCACCTTGCTCTCATGCTGGGTGTCTGTCCTTGGCCTGTCTCACCATTCCCTGTGAGACTCAATGTGAGCTTGAGGGACAGCAGCTCATCCTTTAATTCAGCATTTTATAGCCTTGCAGACTCAAACTAGAGGTCAACTAATTCAGACCTCTCCTCCATTCCATTTTACTTCCTTTTCTTCACTTGCTTAGGTTTTTCTCGTCTTTGCTTTCAGACAGTACTACACTTGCTCTCGATACATCTTATGTTACTTTTCCTGCCTCATCACTATTTTCCTTTGATCTAAATGGCTAGCTCTTTATTTCAATCTCTCCCGTCTTCCACTCCAGCAAAGACCTTTTGCTTATCCTTATCCTAGCCAATCCTTGATCAAAACTGATCACATCTCTAATGTTTCCCAGCTCAGATGAAGAGTCATTAACCTGAAACTTCAAAAACAAACCGAAAGAATTGCGGATGCTGTAAATCAGGAACAAAAAACAGAAGCTGCTGGAAAAGCTCAGCAGGTCTGGCAGCATCTGTGAAGAAAAAATCAGAGTTAATGTTTTGGGTCCGGTGACCCTTCCTCAGAACCTGAAACTTCAACTGTGGTCTCTCCTCAGATGCTGCTCCACTTGCCGAGTACTTCCACAATTTCCCATTTTTAATTCAAAGTAAACCAGCTTCGCTTTGACATAAATGTGACAAATCACTGTCCTGACTATTTACTGCTTTGAACAGTAGTTTTGATAAAGTTGATGCACTATAACAAACTTCTCATGCTATACCTCAGTTTCAGCTCTGCAGTTAGTATGTATTTGGAATTAATGTATCTGGAGAAAGCTACACCAGTGAAGCCCCCTTCAACATGTCTTCAGCTGACTCAGGCTTCACTCCACACTGTCCAATAAGACTCTCACACCAAAGTCAGTTGCATGTTGCAGAGTACCAGACTTCGGTCTTCACCTCAGGAAGTAAGTCATTCCATTAGCCACAATCAAATTCACATGAGGAACATCAAGCAAGCCACACACTACGTGAAAAGCAATCCTCGCATTTCTCCATGAGACATTACATTGCAACAAACATGTCAACTTACCTGTTCAGAGACAAACTCAGCAAGATCCTCAGGCAGTTTCTGGGCACAATCATCTTCGTCCTCTGGTACTTCTTCTGAAATTAGAAAAAAAAAATAGAGAGAGATGCATCAATTGCCTTCCAATCAGCAGAGAGGGAAAAATGTTGAGTATCGGACCAGGCGTATAATTCAGGAGTGACGCAAAGTCTACAACATCACAAAGTAACATCACAATGCCACACCACTAACCATGTGTCAACCCTTTAATATTTTGTTGGCCTTTACTATGCAGAAGAAGCTTTCTTTTCAGTGCTTCACCAAACAAACTTCACAAAATAAATCAATATCTAAACTCACACATTCGCAAGAAATTTAAATGGACTGGCCATGTAAAATAGTGTGATGACAAGAGATTGGGAATTCCGCAGCAAGTAACACACTTCTTGACCTGACTCTCAGTGCCCATCCTCCTATCAAACATGTACATATCAGGAAAGTGATATTTGCATGGATGAGTGCAGCTAGGACATCCAGGTCAAATAAGTCCACTTGAATGGCACTCCATCCAACACCTTCAACATTCATACCCTCCACCTCGGAGGCAGAAACAGCAGTATCATCTACGAGATGCACTACACAGTCACACATCAAGACTTCTTTTTGACTGCACTTTCCAAACCTGTGCCCTCTACCACCCAGAAAGCCACAGGAAGAAGCTGCATGGGAATACGCCCCACTTGCAATCTGACATTTCCTTCGTGACAGCACTGTGCATATACCTGGACAGTTACCAGTTAGCTCAGTTGGCTGATTAGTGATGCAGAGTGACACCAACAGTGTGGTTTCAATCCACCCACCAGCTGCGGTTACCGTGAAGAGCTCTCTTCCTCAATCTCTCCCCTCGCCTGAGGTGCAGTGACCCTCAGGTTAAACCAACATCAGTCATCTCTCTCTAATGGGAGAGCAGCCCTATGGTCTGGTAAGACTATGATTCTACCTTTGCAGTGACAAGATCGACATTGCTACAGAGGTGTTGAGGAGGAGCCAATGTTGGCTCTCACTCCTTCAAGATCCTCCGCTCTGTCCACCGGTTCAGATGACATCATAGTGGGTGGAGCTTACGGCACTTCTCAATATTAACTTTTTCCAGACCCACACACAACAATTTGATGAAAGCCCTTGTAAAGGGTGGTGTCCCAGTCTTCTGCTTTCAATTGAGCACATAATAAAGGGGAGGAAAAGTGTGTGTGCTTATTAACCAAACTTCAAGCTGCGTTGTGAGAAAAACAGCTCATTCTTTCGAGGACAAGGTACAAGTGGATTCTATTAGATCAATTGGATCTCTGTACGAAAACGTCACCAGGTTACCAAATGGTGCTCCTTGAACAAGTGAGGCATCACCACATCCATCGAACATGTTTTCCCATTGTACACCTGAGGCCAGAGGCCATTCTTACAACCGCCAGTGTTAATTTTACACATGTTAAGCTAATTCAGTGTGGAAACTGTGGACAGGTGCATGCTCCATGCAAAGATGAAGAGCAGTTAGGGTATTAACCAGAGCATATACTTAAAGACCTACTGTCTACCTGGGAAAGGGGGCTGAACAACAGAAGAGAATGGAGGACTTCATTAATGCTGGACTTCAATTTGACAGTACAGTCAGCATTAGAAATCGATCCATTTTGAGAGTGCATTCACAGTTTCCCCAACTTCATAGAATAGCTCATCACCTACTATGCGGCACCAACTCACAACAACATTAATAAAACGCATTACAGCCCAGAGGGTAGGGGGAGTCACTATTAAATATGAAGATACTGTTTGCTTTTTTCTTTGCTGTTGGAATTATCATGAGCGATGTTCATCAGTTGAGTGAAAACTTGTCAAATCCCCAAAACCACACACTGTCGCACTTCGACTGCTCCAGCTTTGTCATTAATGTTTAACAATGAGGGTATGGAGCAGATTAACATGTGGGCAAGACAGAATTGCTTAGACTTCTTGTTGAATGCTGAGTGGGGCCCAGCAGCTGGTGAATTTATACGGGTCAGAAGTGACTCATGAAGCAGCATGGGGCAATGAATGGCAGCGTTTGATCTCCGTTCTCCACACACACTTGGATTCTCTGAGGACTGAGCTGCACTCTGTCAGTACACAACAAGTAGGGTAGGGAGAATAAGAAATTAAAGAAGGTCCAGAGCTGGATGAACACAGCAGGCTAAGCAGCATCATAGGAGCAGAAAGGCTGACGTTTCGGGCCTAGACCCTTCATCAGA